TTCCCATTCCTAACAGATACTCCATACTTCCCAATTACACCATCCACTGCCTCATTCCCTACTGTAGCATTCAAATCTCCCATCAACACCACATTCACATTCATTCCCAAGTCGTCCACACACCCATTCAATTTCATCCAAATTTTTTCTCTTTCTTCCTCACTTCTTTCACTGCCAGGGCCATTTGCACTCACAAACGCCCAAGCCTTGCATCCCAACCTCATTTTAGCCACTATTATTCGAGAAGATACTTCCTTCCATTCTACCACACAATTATTCATCTCTTCACTTACTAACAGAGCAACTCCCTCTCTTTCTTCCCCCTTCTCAACTCGAGACACCCTATCTACCACACTCCCAAATGTCACCTCACCATTCCCTTTTATTATAGTTTCGCTCAATGCAAGTACATCTATCTTTCTCTCCACAAACATACTCCCTATCACCGCCCTCTTACTTTCATTTACACCACAAGTATGCACATTCAGAGACCCAATTACTAGGTTTCTGGCTGGATCTCTCCTGCCAGAATACCCCCGCATCTATTGACTTTTTGTAGAAAATAAAATACAGAGGAGGGGATTCCTAGTCGCCCCCGCTCCTCCCCATTTAGTCGACTTTCACGACACGGAGGGGGACACGGAGAAAAAATGCTTAACCCCCTAGTTTCCTTACTTAGCGAATTTCTCATGATATGGAAGGAAGTTTTCTTAAGTAGAATCAAACTATGACTTCTAGTTCTAGAGTTATCCATATCATAATATCTCTCCCTATCCACCATGTCAAAAGCATGAAGGAATTTAAACATTGTTACCATGTCCCCACTCTTCCTTCTAGTTTTGAGTGATGGTAAATCTATCTCCTTCAGCCCTTTCTCATAACTGAGATTATGTATTTCCTTCACTACCTTCGTAGCATGTCTTTGAACTTCTCCAATTTATTTATATGTTTTTCCATGTACAGATACCAGAAGGATGCTGCATAATCAAGCTTTTTTTTATCTATATTACATAATTGTCATAAGAAGAATGATCGCTGCTCATAGAATGAATTTAGAAAGAATCATATTGGTAAGGAACACTGATTGTGTATCTATGATGCATATATGTGTTCCTGTGAATGTATACACACAGTAATTAAGTTATACTGACGCTCTCATGTATCAGAATCATATATATAAATACAGCACTGAGACCTTTTTCATAAAATCATCTGCATCATACTGCAATTACTTGCGAATGCTTGGCCCCCTTTTCTCTTCACCCATAACATCAGGGCACTTATCACATGTAAGAACCATTCAGCCTTTTACCAGAAGCTCTTGTACCGAAACCATCATGCAACTATTGAAAAACACCCACAGATGTCGCTAACCTAATCTCCCAAAAAATTAACTCACTCAAACCTTACCTAAGATGAAGAAGCCAAAGTTAACGCAACCATCCTAAAATGAATAAATGCTTATATGGCCTAGTCTGTCTCAAATATAACTAAATCAACCAATTAAAAGACAGTTGAAGTTAACATGGCATTAACCAATCTCAATTCTGTCCTCAGAAAGAACCGGAGAGTTGCTGGAGACTAGCCACTGGCATTCCATTCTCAACTCAACCATTTGGCAAGAACAGATGATGGATCTGCTTATTCGGTTCCAGGAAAATGTAACAGAAGCTGTGGAAAAGCAACTGTACGATCAAGGGCCTGATGTACAAAGGGAGAGATGGAGCATCATTGGCTCGCTTTTTTATTGTGTTACAGTCATCACTACAATCGGTAAACAAAGATTGCTAGAAGCAGCAGCACTACTATGACTGCTACTACTACTACTACTACTACTACTACTACTACTACTACTACTACTACTAAATAATAATAATAATAATAATAATAATAATAATAATAATAATAATAATAATAATAATAATAATAATAATAATAATAATTATTATTATTATTATTATTATTATTATTATTATTATTATTATTATTATTATTATTATAATAACAATAAGCTTACCAACAACAGTAGTAGTAGTAGTAGTAGTAGAAGTAGTAGTAGTAGTAGTAGTAGTAGTAATAGTAGTAGTAGTTGCAGTAGTTGATGAAAAGGAAGCAAGGAATACAGAAAAATCTTTGGATATAATAATAATAATAATAATAATAATAATAATAATAATAATAATAATAATAATAATAATAATAATAATAATAATGATAATAATAATAATAATGATACAATGCATTTCAAGAAAGGTGTTCAAATCTGCATATTTTTAAGTACAGTATATTTATTTAGTCTTGTCAAATATTTAACTATTCTAAAGTCCGTGTCTATATCTATCATGCAATATACTGTATCTACCTACCACTGAATCCAGTATACTAATATCTAACTCCATTCCTTCTTGTGTATATCTTTCTGTTTAAATTCAATTTCTAAATTATCGTTATATCTAACAAGTGATATATTTCCAGGTTATGGCCACGTATCTCCACAAACAACAGAGGGAAAGATGGTAACCATTCTCTATGCTATTTTGGGGATTCCCCTGATGCTACTCTGCTTAAGTAATATTGGTGATTCTATGGCTACTTCTTTCAGGTAAATATACTATGGAACTCAGAAATCATACAAACACACACCACACACACAATAGAGTAGTTGATAATTGGAATTCTCTAAGGCCCGATTCACATTATAGTCACAGTCCCGCCATTCCCTATCCCTCAACAGCAGTGGATGTACGACCATCATAGAAGGAGGATGTGTGACTTTTCACCAGCCGAGTTAGCAGTAATCGCTATTGCACTAGTATTGGAACATTGGAAAAAATACTATCAAAAATTCAGAATGACCTGAAAAAGGAACACATCATACAGAGAAGCAATCACTCCAAGAGCAAAACTGGCTACATCTATATCTATCTATCTATCTATCTATCTATCTTTATATATATATATATATATATATATATATATATATATATATATATATATATATATATATATATATATATATAGATTGATAGATAGATAGATGTAGGTTGATCCATGGCACTAGCTGCCCGTTGCGGTAATACAAACATAAGTCATATGGACAAGAACAGGACTGTCCAGGAAAGCTCGATGCAATGTATATATATATATATATATATATATATATATATATATATATATATATATATATATATATATATATATATATATATATATATATATGTATATATATATATATATATATATATATATATATACATATATATATATATATATATATATATATATATATATATATATATATATATATATATATATATATATATATATATATATATATATATATATATATATATATTACAAGAAGCAGGCGAATCTTATGTAATTAAGGTGAATACAAAGGGATATAAAAAGAACAAAGTACCTTCGCGCTTTCAAGAAAATGATCTACTGATATACAAAGTAGATGAGTACATAATATACACGAAAGAGCTGAGGTACTCCATCGTTTCCATTTTCCCTCTTATCCTGTACGTATATATATATATATATATATATATATATATATATATATATATATATATATATATATATATATATATATAACCAAATAAGCACATTACATATGTGAAAACATGAATCATTTTTACCCCAACCGGGACTTGAACCTAGGACTTATAATTACTAAGTCAAGGCACTACCAACTACATCACAGAAGGTTAAAAGGAAACAGATCTTATAGCTATACTTAGAAATAAACGCATTCTATCTGAATGCCACTATGTTCATATTACAGTTTCCCCAAACTCACTCATCATTTCGTTTTCGCATTTAATTCAACTCCCAATCTCATTCGGGATCAATAATAACCAAATGAGCACATTACATATGTGAAAACATGAATCATTTTTACCCCAACTGGGACTTGATCCTAGGACTTATGATTACTAAACCAAGGCGTTACCAACTACACCAGAGAATGTTAAAAGGAAACAGACCTTATAGCTTATATCTGCTATACTTAGGAATGAATACATTCCATCTGAATGCCACTATGTTCATATTACAGTTTCCCCAACCTCACTTGTGGTTTCGTTTTCGTATTTATTTCAACTCCCAATCTCATTCGGGATCAACAATAACCAAATAAGCACATTACTTATGTGAAAACATGAATCATTTTTATCCCAACTGGGACTTGAACCTAGGACTTATAATTACTAAGCCAAGGCGCTACCAACTACACCACTGAATGTTAGAAGGAAACAGACCTTATAGCTTATATCTGCTATACTTAGGAATGAATACATTCCATCTGATTGCCACTATGTTCATATTACAGTTTCCCCAACCTCACTTGTGGTTTCGTTTTCGTATTTAATTCAACTCCCAATCTCATTTGGGATCATTAATAACCAAATAAGGACATTACAAGCGTGAAAACATGAATCATTTTTATCCCAACTGGGACTTGAACCTAGAACTTATAATTACTAAGTCAAGATATTACCAACTACACCACAGAAGGTTAAAAGGAAACAGATCTTATAGCTTATATCTGCTATACTTAGGAATGAACGCATTCTATCTGAATGCCACTATGTTCATATTAAAGTTCCCCCAACCTCACTCGTGGTTTTGTTTTCACATTTAATTGAACTCCCAGTCTCATTCGGGATCAACAATAACCAAATAAGCACATTAAACATGTGAAAACATGAATCATTTTTACCCCGGCCGGGACTTGAACCTAGGGCTTATAATTACTAAGCCAAGGTGCTACCAGCTACACCACAGAAGATTCAAAGGAAACAGATCTTATAGCTTATATATGCTATACTTAGAAATGAACGCCTTCTATCTGAATGCCACTATGTTCATATTACAATTTCCCCAACCTCACTCGTGGTTTCGTTTTCGCATTTAATTCAACTCCCAATCTAATTCGGGATCAACACTAACCAAATAAGCACATTACATATTTGAAAACATGAATCATTTTTACCCCGATCCAGTGTAGTTGGTAGCGCCTTGGCTTAGTAATTATAAGTTCTAGGTTCAAGTCCCGGTCGGGGTAAAAATGATTCAGTGTGAATGCTTCCGTTGCAATGCATGTAATGATATTTGACTGGACCATGAGCGGACCGCGAGCAGACCTATAATGTGAATTGGACCAAAACGAGGAAGTAGTTCATGCTAATTGTAATCATAGTTTTAAGGACAAATATGATAAGTATCATTGAATATAAAATGGAACCGACCAGGAGATGAGGACTTACAAGCATAGGGCTCTTTCCCATAAGAACAGTTAGGTAATTACAACACACACATACATACACACACGAAATATTTATGTAACCTATGTGAGGCCAAAACTCGAATATGCAGCCCCCTTTTGGAATCCGCACTTGAAAAAGCACATAGCTAAGCTTGAAAAAGTTCAAAGACATGCCACAAAACTGGTGCCAGAAATACGCAATCTCAGTTATGATGAGAGGCTGAGGGAATTAGACTTACCATCACTCGAAGCTAGAAGAGTGAGGGGGGATATGGTGACAGTCTTTAAATTCCTTCATGGTTATGATAGAGTGGATAGGGTTCGATATTTTGATATGGCAGGCTCTAGAACTAGAGGTCATAGTTTGAAGCTTCATAAGAAAACTTCTTCGCAGGATGTAAGGAAATACTTTTTCAGTGTAAGAGTAGTTGATAATTGGAATTCGCTAAGCGAGGAGGTAGGTAATGCTATCTCAATCCATAGTTTTAAAGACAGGTATGATAAGTATCACTAAGTATAAAATGGAACCGATCAGGAGACAGGAAGATACGAGCTTTGGGCTCTTTCCCGTAAACACAATTAGGTAATCACAATTAGGTAATCACACAAATACAGACATGCTCTTTTAGTGTAAGAGTAGTTGATAACTGGAATTCGCAAGGCGAGGAGGGAGTTAATGCTAACTCAATCCATAGTTTTAAGGACAGGTATGATAAGTATCACTAAGTACAAAATGGAACCGATCGGGAGACGGGAAGATACGAGCTTTGGGCTCTTTCCCGTAAGCACAATTAGGTAATCACAATTATGTAATCACACACACACACACACGCTGATGGAGTTAGATGTCTATAAAACTACAGGTCCTGATGATATATCCCCTTATGTACTTAAGAAATGCGCTAATTCAATATCAGCGGCACTTAGTATAATATTTGAAAAGTCACTGGAGTCAGGGGAGATTCCAAGATGCTGCAAACAGGCGAATGTGATACCTATCTTCAAAAAGGGAAGGAGGGATACGGCTCTAAACTATAGACCTGTTTCCTTGACCAGCATAGTTTGCAAAGTTATGGAGAAACTACTAAGGAAATATATCTCTCTTCACTTCGAATCCCTCATTTTTTTTGTCAGTGACACAACATGGCTTCAGAGAAGCTAGATCAACAGTAAGAAACTTATTATAAAAATATGACGAGGTAAGCCGAATCTTACAGGAAAGAGAGGGTTGCGCAGATTGCATATTCTTATACTTCCAGAAAGCATATGACACTGTCTCACACGGGAGACTTAAGAAGCTGCAATTAATGGCAAGAATAGATAGAAATGTCTTGGAATGGATAAAAACATACTTAGAAGGAAGGGAACAGAGGGTTAGAGTAAGACAGTCAGTGTCTGAATGGGAAGGGCTAGTAGTGGAGTTCCACAGGGTTCAGTTTTAGGGCCACTTTTGTTTCTTGTACTGTAAATTCATTCATGAATATGTTTGCAGATGATGCAAAGATTGTAAAAAAAGAACGAAACGAGAACAATGGTAGAGAACTTCAGGAGGATCTAAATAGTCTGCATGAGTGGTCAGAAAAGTGGCTAAAGAAAATCAATTCTTCAATATGTAAGGTAATGAGAATGGGTACAAGTGCAAGAAAGCCCAAACTTGGCTGCTCTGTGGCAGGAGTAGAACTTCAAGAAAGAGAGAATGAGAGAGATCTAGTACTAAACATACTGGCTGATTTGTCTCCAGAAATGTATATAAATAGCATAGTAAGGGCAGCATATGATTTCTACGCAAATGTAAGGGTAGCCTTCAGGCACATGAACAAGGTAATGTTCAGAAATATTTATATAACCTATGTGAGGCCAAAGCTTGAATATGCCGCCCCCTTTTGTAATCCGCACTTGAAAAAGCACGTAGTTAAGCTGGAAAAAGTTCAAAGACATGCCACGAAACTGGTGCCAGAAATACGCAATCTCAGTTATGATGAGAGGCTGAATTAATTAGACTTACCATTACTTGAAGCTAGAAGATTAAGAAGGGATATGGTGACGGCTCTTAATTTTCTTCATGGTTATGACAGAGTGGATAGGGATCGATATTTTTATATGGCTGGCACTAGAGCTGGAGGTCATAGTTTGAAGATTCGTAAGAAAACTTCTTTGTAGGATGTAAGGAAGTACTTTTTTAGTGTAAGAGTACTTGATAATTGGAATTTGGTAAGCGATGAGATAGTTAATGCTAACTCAATCCATACTTTTAAGGATAAGTGTGATAAGTATCACCTAGTACAAAATGGAACCGACCAGGTGAGAGAAGTTACGAGCTTGGGGCTCTTTCCCGTAAACACAGTTAGGTAATTGCACACAATCAGAGACCATAGTTTGAAGCTTCGAATAAAACTTATTACAGGATGCAAGAAAATACTTTTTTAGTACAAGAATAGTTGATAACTGAAATTCGACACGTGAGGAAACAGTAGTTAAATTTTTTTTTAGAGCTCATATAGATAAATACAATTTGATGCATGCACACATACGCAGAGAATACACAGTGTCAAACTCTCTAAAGAAAATAATATGTATATTTACAAACTTTTCGAGAATAAGAGCAGTAGCTCTGGAAAGTGCCAATGTTTTATGAATACTGTACATTAAAAAACACTACTCTCAGACTGTTTACATTCCTTCAGTAATAATAATAATAATAATAATAATAATAATAATAATAATAATAATAATAATAATAATAATAATAATAATTCTATCTTCACAGATTCATGTATAGACGAGTATGTTGCGCGTGTTGTCGGAAGCCTGAGGAAGAGAATGAAAAAGACTTGCTAACAACAAGGTAAGAAACTTTATATATATATATATATATATATATATATATATATATATATATATATATATATATATATATATATATATATATATATATATATATATATATATATATATATATAAATATATATAACATAAATACATATATATATATATATATATATATATATATATATATATATATATATATATATATATATATATATATATATATATATATATATATATATATAACCTGTGCCAAATCATCTACAGTAGCCCTAGATATCCTATTATTGACAAACTATATATATATATAATATATATATATATTAATATATATATATATATTAATATATAATATATATACTATATATAATATATTATATATATATATATATATATAACCTGTACCAAATCACCTACAGTAGCCCTAGATATCCTATTATTGACTAACTATAATACAATAACAAGGGCCTCCAAGAGAAATTTTGCAAGGAGGTACTAATACCCTTCTTGGAGCCCCAAGCCAGGCAATCATGTAGTAGGTTGGCTCATGGCACTAATCGCCCGTTGCGATACTACAGCTGAAGGTTTTTTGAACTTAAATGGGTCTGTCCAGGACAGTTCGATGTTGTCTTCCTTCAGTTACGGTTCTTTTTCTATGACTACAGCTACACTGAATATTATTGGATATTCATCACACATCTTTTATCCCTTCATATCTGACAAGTCATTACACTCTCCATCTCTGTTTCTCTTTATGTATTCCTCGTGCCCAGGGCCGATGAGGGCTGTTTTTATTTATTTTTTTTTTTGGCCCGTCCTGGTATCACAATCATAAAAAAAAATTAAAAAAAAATAAAAAAAATTCTCATTATTGAGGATTTCATGTCGAGTAAATCTACATGTAAACTCTCATAAATGCTTTATTCCCATGATCAGATATAATGTAACAAACATATTCAATTAATGCAGCAACATAAAGAGATATTTGCGGTTACATTCTCTTTTCATAATGAAATGCTTTTTAAATGTTCTTAATAATTTATTTCAAAGAAAAATACTTTTCTTAAAAAAAAATACACAAAAAACAAATTCAACATTCAACTAGAGTACTAATTAAAATGTGCTTCTGTGGGTTTTTTGTTTACAGAATATCTAATAACACTATCAAAATCAATATGTCTGGCAATGCCAGATTCTATACTCAATCGTGCTAGATCAACAAGTCTGGTTTAAGACATAGTAGACCTCAAATAGTTTTTGATAAATTTGAGTTTTCTAAAAGATCTTTCAGCTGATGCTACTGTAGAGGAATTGTCAACAATATCCTCAAACTAATACAAATATTTGGAAATATTCACGCAAATTAAAGTCTGTTAACAAATTTAACAATTCTAGAGGATTAGTTCTGGTTTTCCAAAATTAGCTTTATGTACTGCTGGCAAATGTTGCATTTCTTCTACAAAATCTTCATAATTAAGATCTGCAGGATATTGATATGATAAAGCTTTTTCTTTTTTCTAGCTCATTTTCAGACATTGTGGGATATTTCCATAAAAAATAGAAATTTTCAGCCAACCTCTTGGGAGCATTAAAACGTACTGTTAATCCTGCAACATTATCAATCAAAAGATAAAACAAGAGTTTATTTGAAATAGGACTCTTCTGGGGAATCATCTATGTCATCTATTTCCGCCAAGTTGGCGTCAGGTTCTTTTCCGACCCATACCTCCACTCCCATGGTAGAGTTTGATTTCCATCTCAAGATTTAATGTAACCTATTTGGCTTCATTCCAGATTCCTTTCTATTTACTTCGTAACTTCATCAAATCTTCAAGGAGTATTTCAATGTTAGACACCTCCACATCCAGTGTGGCATCTCCGGCTTAAATCATTTTGTTGCAAATATCTATGGCAGCCAAAATATTGTACCAAACCATCAACATTAACACATATATGACACTTTTTAAGTATGC